GGATGACCTCACACAACTCACTTCTTAATCTCATTCCTTTTAATCCACTCACGCACGTTATTGTTATCCCACTTACTCCCTCTTCGAGAACAACAACAAACACACAAAACTATATGCAACTGAGTACTAGCGACAACAACAACAACGATTACTTGCACTTTGCTTTTAGTTTTCTAGAAATTTCTGAAGTGTTCGGTTGTTCGGTGATTCGCGTTCGTTTAATTAATTAAAAAGTCCTATTAAAAGTGAATAAATTGCAAATATTTTTACATAATTATTTAGTTTAAATGTTGTTTAATATTCGTGTGTAAAAATAACGTTAAAATATGTCAAGTAAATTAGTTAAATTCTGTTGAATAAAATTTGCAGTTTTTTTGCCGGTCGGTAATACTCGTTATGTTGCTTTAGTTTGGCTATTTGTTCGTTTGTATATAAAGTGTTTGTTTGTGTGAATGTGCATGGTTGGTTGGTTGGTCGCCTGTTTAGGGGAATAGCGAAAGAGAAATAAAAAGAAGGAAAGTAACGAAAAGGTTTAAGAAAAGGCTTTAAAGTTAATAAAGCTTTTATGTGCATTGAAAAAATAATAAGAGGAAATAAAGTCCAAATCGTTAAAAAAAGCTTTGAGAAAGTGAAATAAAAATGTGAGAATAAATCACATATAAAATTAAATTGATTATAAGAAAAGGAAACAAGTGGTGAATAGGTGAGTGGTTGATTTCTTTTATTTTACATTACTTTTAATTATACATAATTGTGTATTATCTATATATGTGTATAAAAATAAATGTGTGTTTGCATGTTTGTTTGTTTGGACTTTATAGACAGCTAAACGGCTGGACGGATTTTTCTGAAATTTTCACAGTGTCTTCCCGTTGTCTGGAAGGAACTATAGGCTACTTTCAAAAAGGAACTATAGGCTACTTCAAAATTTCAAGTGGCCGACGTGCCACGCCTACTTTCAAAATAAGTGTTAAAAGTCGCATATCTCAGAAACTGTAAGAGTTGGAGTCCTCAAATTTTGTATGGATAACTTTGACATCCATAAGAATATTTTTGGATAAAATGGGCCGAATGGCGATAGTGGGCGTGCCATTTTCCATATGAAGAAAATCTTAAATCAGTATATCTGAGAAAATATAACAGATAGAGTACTCAAATTTTGTAGGATCCACTTTAGGATCAATATGATTATTTAAGGAAAAAGGGGGCGTACTAGAAGTAGGGAGCGTGGCACCCCCATATGAATTAAATACAAAAAATTCGCTTATCTGGAAAACTATTAGAGTTAGAACCTTCAAATTTTGCACGAAGAACTGTAGCATCCATGTAAACATTTTGTGTAATAAATTGGCGGACTACCAGTGGGGGGCGTTCCTCTTCCCATATGAATAAAATATACAAAAATTCGTTTATCTGGGATACTAATAGAGCTAGCTTCTTAAAATTTTGCGAGAAGAAATTTAATATTCATCTGAACATTTTGGGGAAAAAGGGCGGACTTTTATCAGGGGGACTTGGAACCCCCATATGAAGTAAATAGAAAAATTCGTATTTAGGATTAGGGCTAAAATCCTAAAATTTTGCAAGAACAACTTTAACATCCATGTAAATAAATTGGCGTTGTCGTTTGACTGAGATATTAATAGACCTAAAATCTTAAAATTTTGCACGACATCCCCAAAATGTAAAAAATGTATATCTGGAAAACTATTACATTTAGAATCTTCAAAATCGTAAAGTATTTTTTTATATACATTGATTTAGGGTAGCAAAGCACACTGGGTATAGCTAGTGTATATTATAATTTAATAAAAAAATTAGCTATCATGTAAAGAAAATTTATAGAAATTTTATATAATTTTTAAAATATTTTCTTTACATCGAAAATTTCCTACAAAAATTTTTCATTCTATTCTACATATCTATTCTATTAAAACAAATTTTGATCAATAACTGAACTAGAACTGAACTAGAACTGAACTAGAACTGAACTAGAACTGAACTAGAACTGAACTGGAACTGAACTAGAACTGAACTAGAACTGAACTAGAACTGAACTAGAACTGAACTAGAACTGAACTAGAACTGAACTAGAACTGAACTAGAACTGAACTAGAACTGAACTAGAACTGAACTAGAACTGAACTAGAACTGAACTAGAACTGAACTAAACTAGAACAGAACTAGAACTGAACTAGAACTAGAACTGAACTAGAACTGAACTAGAACGAACTAGAACTGAACTAGAACTGAACTAGAACTGAACTAGAACTGAACTAGAACTGAACTAGAACTGAACTAGAACTGTACTAGAACTGAACTAGAACTGAACTAGAACTGAACTAGAACTGAACTAGAACTGAACTAGAACTGAACTAGAACTGAACTAGAACTGAACTAGAACTAGAACTAGAACTGTACTAGAACTGTACTAGAACTGAACTAGAACTGAACTAGAACTGAACTAGAACTGAACTAGAACTGAACTAGAACTGAACTAGAACTGAACTAGAACTGAACTAGAACTGAACTAGAACTGAACTAGAACTGAACTAGAACTGAACTAGAACTGAATTGGAACTGATCTAAAGCCGATATAAAACTGAACTAGAACTTAACTGGAATTGAACTTATTTATTATTTATTTAGATATTATTACAATTAAAATTATAATAAATCTTAAAGTTAAAGCACTAGAAAAATAGGCTGTCGGCTGAGGAATTGAACTTTATCAAAATATTAACTAAACTTTCGGTTCCACAAAAAAATTTACTCCTTTTGTTATTTTAACAACTTTTTTCTAACATACATAAATACATACAAATTTGCACTTTCAGTTCTTTCACTAAACTTACGAACTTTTTACTTTTTTTTAAAAATAAAGCTTTCTAAAGCTCTTTGGGATGACCTCTGGCAACTCACTTCTTAATCTCATTCCTTTTAATCCACTCACGCACGTTATTGTTATCCCACTAACTCCCTCTTCGAGAATAACAACAAACACATATAACTTTATGCAACTGAGTACTAGCGACAACAACAACAACGATTACTTGCATTTTGCTTTTAGTTTTCTAGAAATTTCTGAAGTGTTCGGTTGTTCGGTGATTCGTGTTCGTTTAATAAATTAAAAAGTCCTATTAAAAGTTAATAAATTGCAAATATTTTTACATAATTACTTAATTTAAATGTGGTTTAATATTCGTGTGTAAAAATATCGTTAAAATATGTCAAGTAAATTAGTTAAATTCTGTTGAATAAAATTTGCAATTTTTTGTCGGTCGGTAATACTCGTTATGTTGCTTTAGTTTGGCCATTTGTTCGTTTGTATATAAAGTGTTTGTTTGTGTGAATGTGTATTGTTGGTTGGTTGGTCGCCTGTTTAGGGGAATAGCGAAAGAGTAATAAAAAGAATGAATGTAACGAAAAGGTTTAAGAAAAGGCTTTTAAGTTAATAAAGCTTTTATGTGCATTGAAAAATATGAAGAGGAAATAAAGTCCAAATCGTTAAAAAAAAGCTTTGAGAAAGAGAAATAAAAATGTTATTAGAATATATCACATATAAAATTCAATTGTTTGGAAGGAAAGAAAATCAGTGGTGAATAGATGAGTGGTTGATTTCTTTCATTTTACATTATTTTTAATTATGCATAATTCTGTATTATGTAAATTATAATTTAATAAAAAAATTAGTTATCATGAAAAGAAAATTTATAGAAATTTTATATACATAATTTTTAAAATATTTTTTTTACATGGAAAATTTTCTATAAAAATTAAAATTTATAAACAATTTTATACAAACATGGAATTTATTGAAAATTTGCTATGAAAGCTAACATTTATCGAAAATTTTAAATAAAAATAAAAAATTTTCTATTCTATTATATCTATTCTATTAAAACAAATTTTTGTTAAATAACTGAACTAGAACTGAAATAGAACTGAACTAGAACTGAACTAGAACTGAACTAGAACTGAACTAGAACTGAACTAGAACTGAACTAGAACTGAACTAGAACTGAACTAGAACTGAACTAGAACTGAACTAGAACTGAACTAGAACTGAACTAGAACTGAACTAGAACTGAACTAGAACTGAACTAGAACTGAACTAGAACTGAACTAGAACTGAACTAGAACTGAACTAGAACTGAACTAGAACTGAACTAGAACTGAACTAGAACTGAACTAGAACTGAACTAGAACTGAACTAGAACTGAACTAGAACTGAACTAGAACTGAACTAGAACTGAACTAGAACTGAACTAGCACTGAACTAGAACTGAGCTAGAACTGAACTAGAACTGAGCTAGAACTGAACTAGAACTGAAATAGAATTGAATTAGAACTGAACTAGAACTAAACTAGAACTGAACTAGAACTGAATTAGAACTGAACTAGAATTGAACTAGAACTGGACTAGAACTGAACTAGAACTGAACTAGAACTGAACTAGAACTGAACTAGAACTGAACTAGAACTGAACTAGAACTGAACTAGAACTGAACTAGAACTGAACTAGAACTGAACTAGAACTGAACTAGAACTGAACTAGAACTGAACTAGAACTGAACTAGAACTGAACTAGAACTGAACTAGAACTGAACTAGAACTGAACTAGAACTGAACTAGAACTGAACTAGAACTGAACTAGAACTGAACTAGAACTGAACTAGAACTGAACTAGAACTGAACTAGAACTGAACTAGAACTGAACTAGAACTGAACTAGAACTGAACTAGAACTGAACTAGAACTAGAACTGAACTTGAACTGAAATAGTACTGAACTAGGACAGACTTGAACTAGTACAGTACTAGACCTAGAACAAAAATCATTATGCCCTTATCTTTTGTATTAATCTTAATCTTGTAATATTCCTTAATTAAATTAGCAAAACACTATTTTAATTTTATTAAGTTTTCTACATCGATGACTAATAACAATTTTAATGGAGATTACTTATAACACCTGTCGTCATTGTACTTCTTCACTTACCGTAAATGTTTGTGAATCAAACCATTCATTACAAAATAAACAAGAAGATTTTTCGTACTTCACAATTGTTGTTGAACCGGAAGTGGACGGTTGTTGTATTCGTTCACCGTTATTTATGTTCGAACCATTCATCATTAAAGAAACGTTATAAATATAAAATTTTCTTTTAAATCGAGAATAAGTTCTTATTTTATTAGGTATTAGCAAATAAACAAAAAATGGTCAATACAAAATATTGATATCTTATCAGAATATTATTATATTACTATGAGCAAATGTTTTATAATTGGAGTTGTTTATTTGATTTGTTTAAAACACATATCACTAGATAAAGTCTGTGACAAAAAGTTGGCAAAATATATTTTCACAATTTTTTTTTTTTAATAATTTACTTAATTTTTTTCTGTTATATGTTTCTTCAATATGTACCTATGTATTCTTAAAACTTTGATTTGCCTTGATTACACTTTAATTAACTTTTGAATTTCTTGTACACATTCTTGTGCATAATAATGGGTGTAAATGAAGTGTGTATTTCATTAATTGAAAATTCTTTTTTCGTTCTCTCTTGCGTTTTTTAATCAATACAATTTAATAAAATTGACTTTAAATAAAATTCGTAAAAATAACTACTACGACAAGTGCGAGCAAATAGCGACTAAATTCGAAATAAACACAGAAAAAACTAAATGAAATTAATCGGTATCAGTTTATTTTCATATCATTTTCATTGTAACGAACGACAACGATTGCTTTTTCTGTTATCAGTTGCAGAACGAATGAACAATAACAAAAAAAATACACTAAATACTTTCTGTATGAAAATGATAATGGATCCCCAATAATAAAGAGCGCACGATAATAGTAGTCCGAAAGATGTGGCAAAATGAGATCTAAAAGTAGGTGTATGTGAAACCAAAAATTTTAGATAAGAAAAGAGAGCAAGAAATGATTCAAGTCGAAGAGAGAATTTGTCCATTGTGTTGATAAATCGGGGAATATTAATTAACACAGAAAATATTTTGTATGCAAATTTATGCGTACTTTTTTTTAAATATTTTATTGGACCGAAGAGTTTTTCACAATCTACACCTTAAATAAGTAAATTTTTAACTTAAGGTTTCAGTTCTAGTTTAGATCTAGTTCTAGTTCTAGTTATAGTTTAGTTCTAGTTTAGATCTAGTTCAGTTCTAGTTCAGTTCTAGTTCAGTTCTAGTTTAGTTCTAGTCAGTTCTAGTTCAGTTCTAGTTCAGTTCTAGTTCAGTTCTAGTTCAGTTCTAGTTCAGTTCAGTTCATTCTAGTTCATTTCTAGTTCAGTTCAGTTCTGTCTAGTTCAGTTCTAGTTCAGTTCTAGTTCAGTTCTAGTTCAGTTCTAGTTCAGTTCTAGTTCAGTTCTAGTTCAGTTCTAGTTCAGTTCTAGTTCAGTTCTAGTTCAGTTCTAGTTCAGTTCTAGTTCAGTTCTAGTTCAGTTCTAGTTCAGTTCTAGTTCAGTTCTAGTTCAGTTCTAGTTCAGTTCTAGTTCAGTTCTAGTTCAGTTCTAGTTCAGTTCTAGTTCAGTTCTAGTTCAGTTCTAGTTCAGTTCTAGTTCAGTTCTAGTTCAGTTCTAGTTCAGTTCTAGTTCATTCTAGTTCAGTTCTAGTTCAGTTCGAGTTCAGTTCTAGTTCAGTTCTAGTTCAGTTCTAGTTCAGTTCTAGTTCAGTTCTAGTTCAGTTCTAGTTCAGTTCTAGTTCAGCTCTAGTTCAGTTCTAGTTCAGTTCTAGTTCAGTTCTAGTTCAGTTCTAGTTCAGTTCTAGTTCAGTTCTAGTTCAGTTCTAGTTCAGTTCTAGTTCAGTTCTAGTTCAGTTCTAGTTCAATTCTAGTTTAGTTCTAGTTCAGTTCTAGTTCAGTTCTAGTTCAGTTCTAGTTCAGTTCTAGTTCAGTTCTAGTTCAGTTCGAGTTCAGTTCTAGTTCAGTTCTAGTTCAGTTCTAGTTCAGTTCTAGTTCAGTTCTAGTTCAGTTCTAGTTCAGTTCTAGTTCAGTTCTAGTTCAGTTCTAGTTCAGTTCTAGTTCAGTTCTAGTTCAGTTCTAGTTCAGTTCTAGTTCGGTTCTAGTTCAGTTCTAGTTCAGTTCTAGTTCAGTTCTAGTTCAGTTCTATTTCAGTTCTAGTTCAGTTCTAGTTCAGTTCTAGTTCAGTTCTAGTTCAGTTCTAGTTCAGTTCTAGTTCAGTTCAAGTTCAGTTCTAGTTCAGTTCTAGTTCAGTTCTAGTTCAGTTCTAGTACAGTTCTAGTTCAGTTCTAGTTCAGTTCAGTTCTAGTTCAGTTCTAGTTCAGTTCTAGTTCAGTTCTAGTTCAGTTCTAGTTCAGTTCTAGTTCAGTTCTAGTTCAGTTCTAGTTCAGTTCTAGTTCAGTTCTAGTTCAGTTCTAGTTCAGTTCTAGTTCAGTTCTAGTTCAGTTCTAGTTCAGTTCTAGTTCAGTTCTAGTTCAGTTCTAGTTCAGTTCTAGTTCAGTTCTAGTTCAGTTCTAGTTCAGTTCTAGTTCAGTTCTAGTTCAGTTCTAGTTCAGTTCTAGTTCAGTTCTAGTTCAGTTCTAGTTCAGTTCTAGTTCAGTTCTAGTTCAGTTCTAGTTCAGTTCTAGTTCAGTTCTAGTTCAGTTCTAGTTCAGTTCTAGTTCAGTTCTAGTTCAGTTCTAGTTCAGTTCTAGTTCAGTTCTAGTTCAGTTCTAGTTCAGTTCTAGTTCAGTTCTAGTTCAGTTCTAGTTCAGTTCTAGTTCAGTTCTAGTTCTTCTAGTTCAGTTCTAGTTCAGTTCTAGTTCAGTTCTAGTTCAGTTCTAGTTCAGTTCTAGTTCAGTTCTAGTTCAGTTCTAGTTCAGTTCTAGTTCAGTTCTAGTTCAGTTTAGTTCAGTTTAGTTCAGTTCTAGTTCAGTTCTAGTTCAGTTCTAGTTCAGTTCTAGTTCAGTTCTAGTTCAGTTCTAGTTCAGTTCTAGTTCAGTTCTAGTTCAGTTCTAGTTCAGTTCTAGTTCAGTTCTAGTTCAGTTCTAGTTCAGTTCTAGTTCAGTTCTAGTTCAGTTCTAGTTCAGTTCTAGTTCAGTTCTAGTTCAGTTCTAGTTCAGTTCTAGTTCAGTTCTAGTTCAGTTCTAGTTCAGTTCTAGTTCAGTTCTAGTTCAGTTCTAGTTCAGTTCTAGTTCAGTTCTAGTTCAGTTCTAGTTCAGTTCTAGTTCAGTTCTAGTTCAGTTCTAGTTCAGTTCTAGTTCAGTTCTAGTTCAGTTCTAGTTCAGTTCTAGTTCAGTTCTAGTTCAGTTCTAGTTCAGTTCTAGTTCAGTTCTAGTTCAGTTCTAGTTCAGTTCTAGTTCAGTTCTAGTTCAGTTCTAGTTCAGTTCTAGTTCAGTTCTAGTTCAGTTCTAGTTCAGTTCTAGTTCAGTTCTAGTTCAGTTCTAGTTCAGTTCTAGTTCAGTTCTAGTCAGTTCTAGTTCAGTTCTAGTTCAGTTCTAGTTCAGTTCTAGTTCAGTTCTAGTTCAGTTCTAGTTCAGTTCTAGTTCAGTTCTAGTTCAGTTCTAGTTCAGTTCTAGTTCAGTTCTAGTTCAGTTCTAGTTCAGTTCTAGTTCAGTTCTAGTTCAGTTCTAGTTCAGTTCTAGTTCAGTTCTAGTTCAGTTCTAGTTCAGTTCTAGTTAGTTCTAGTTCAGTTCTAGTTCAGTTCTAGTTCAGTTCTAGTCAGTTCTAGTGCAGTTCTAGTTCAGTTCTAGTTCAGTTCTAGTTCAGTTCTAGTCAGTTTCTAGTTCAGTTCTAGTTCAGTTCTAGGTCTGTTCTAGTTGAGTAGTTCAGTTCTAGTTCAGTTCTAGTTCAGTTCTAGTTCAGTTCTAGTTCAGTTCTAGTTCAGTTCTAGTTCAGTTCTAGTTCAGTTCTAGTTCAGTTCTAGTTCAGTTCTAGTTCAGTTCTAGTTCAGTTCTAGTTCAGTTCTAGTTTCAGTTCTAGTTCAGTTCTAGTCAAAATCACCTTTACTATTGTACATAGTATGTTTTGCAATTAAAATCATTTACCAAAGGTAGTAGATAAATATTTAAAGTACAAAAGAAACCATAAAATCAATTTAATTTAATTATTTAACTTTACGACTACCACAAAACAATCGTTCATATAAGAGACATGAGGAAATAAGAAATAAAGCATAAAGGACACAGACGATTACATTTTTTACACAGAATGAATATCGGAAAAGTGTCATGTCTCCAAGGATATGAAAGGAAACATCAAGTGTCGTAGTAGTAAAGCATCCTATTTCTAAAAGACCTACTTTTTTATTCACCATAAATGCATACTTACATATATGTATATACATGCTAGCATACATGTATGTGTAGTAGCAGTTACTCAAACTTAAATTTCACACAAAGACAACACGTCTCCTTCCACCTGCCAAAATCTTGTTAAAATTGTTAAAACTTGAATCATGCATAAAGGTATAAAAAATAAGGATTAAATTGTACCGCAAAGATAATAACAATCTATAAACACAGTCTCATGATACGGGCTGTCTTCACTCATACAAATAAAAGTTTATCAAAAGACACGTATCCTGTCTAGAATAAAAAAACAAGAAAATTTATTAAATCCAATTTATTACTGTTTTCACTTTATTTTGTGTCTTTTAAAACCAGAGAACGTGTGAATTTCCAAAACGGCAAAAACAATGTCATCTTTCGGTTCAGTTTGTATTTATCAAGGATACACGTTGTTGCTATTTCTTGTTTATTCATAGATAAGTCCTTTTAAATTTTTCATGTTTTGTTTTGATTATTTAATTTGAGAGTTTTTCCACAATCCCGCCAAAATTGCTGTAGTATTCGTTGTTTTCGGCTTATGTTGTTTTATACGGCTTTTTAAGAAAGCGATTTGTTTTATTCACTCATATTAGAATATTTGAGTGAGTTTTTTTTTTTTTTGGACTGTTGTTAATTTGCTGACGTACTTTATTTATATGTGTGCGTTTACATAGTATTTGGTACTAAAAGTATAATGTGTAACAACAAAGGAATGTGGAGCGTGAGGGAGCTTTTTAGATGTCATTGACAATGACTTATGCAATTCAAAATTAAAGAGTATATTAAGAGTTGCCAAGAAATTGTTAAATAATGGTGGAAGTCAGAGAAATTATATGATAATACATTCCAGGATATTAATCTTGTTACCTTTGGTTTAGATTGTGTTAGGAGGATGTATTCTACTGTTGTTGGGGAAGACGTTATATAGTGCTCTAAGAAGGTATTATTGTCGGATGTCCAGAAACTCACTTTCCTGGATATAGTTTCTTAAAATTTTTTAGTCATAATTCCTGAGGAATGAAATTCCAGGATATTCATCAATAGACTATAGACTAGACTAGACTAGACTAGACTAGACTATAGACTAGACTATAGACTAGACTATAGACTAGACTATAGACTAGACTATAGACTAGACTATACTAGACTATAGACTAGACTATAGACTAGACTATAGACTAGACTAGACTAGACTATAGACTAGACAATAGACTAGACTAGACTATAGACTATACTATAGACTAGACTATAGACTAGACTATAGACTAGACTATAGACTAGACTGTAGACTAGACTATAGACTAGACTATAGACTAGACTATAGACTAGACTATAGACTAGACTATAGACTAGACTATAGACTAGACTATAGACTAGACTATAGACTAGACTATAGACTAGACTATAGACTAGACTGTAGACTAGACTGTATACTAGACTATAGACTAGACTATAGACTAGACTATACCTATAGACTAGACTATAGACTAGACTATAGACTAGACTATAGACTAGACTATGACTAGACTATAGACTAGACTATAGACTAGACTATAGACTAGACTATAGACTAGACTATAGACTAGACTATAGACTAGACTATAGACTAGACTATAGACTAGACTATAGACCAGACTATAGACTAGACTATAGACTAGACTATAGACTAGACTATAGACGAGACTATAGACTAGACTATAGACGAGACTATAGACTAGACTATAGACTAGACTATAGACTAGACTATAGACTAGACTATAGACTAGACTAGACTAGACTAGACTAGACTATAGACTAGACTATAGACTCTATAGACTAGACTATAATACTAGACTATAGACTAGACTATAGACTAGACTATAGACTAGACTATAGACTAGACTATAGACTAGACTATAGACTAGACTATAGACTAGACTATAGACTAGACTATAGACTAGACTATAGACTAGACTATAGACTAGACTATAGACTAGACTATAGACTAGACTATAGACTAGACTATAGACTAGACTATAGACTAGACTATAGACTAGACTATAGACTAGACTATAGACTAGACTATAGACTAGACTATAGACTAGACTATAGACTAGACTACAGACTAGACTATAGACTAGACTATAGACTAGACTATAGACTAGACTATAGACTAGACTATAGACTAGACTATAGACTAGACTATAGACTAGACTATAGACTAGACCATAGACTAGACTATAGACTAGACTATAGACTAGACTATAGACTAGACTATAGACTAGACTATAGACTAGACTATAGACTAGACTATAGACTAGACTATAGACTAGACTGTAGACTAGACTAGACTGTAGACTAGACTAGACTGTAGACTAGACTGTAGACTAGACTATAGACTAGACTATAGACTAGACTATAGACTAGACTATAGACTAGACTATAGACTAGACTATAGACTAGACCATAGACTAGACTATAGACTAGACTATAGACTAGACTATAGACTAGACTATAGACTAGACTATAGACTAGACTATAGACTAGACTATAGACTAGACTATAGACTAGACTATAGACTAGACTATAGACTAGACTATAGACTAGACTATAGACTAGACTATAGACTAGACTATAGACTAGACTATAGACTAGACTATAGACTAGACTATAGACTAGACTATAGACTAGACTATAGACTAGACTATAGACTAGACTATAGACTAGACTATAGACTAGACTATAGACTAGACTATAGACTAGACTATAGACTAAACTATAGACTAGACTATAGACTAGACTATAGACTAGACTATAGACTAGACTATAGACTAGACTATAGACTAGACTATAGACTAGACTAGACTAGACTATAGACTAGACTATAGACTAGACTATAGACTAGACTATAGACTAGACTGTAGACTAGACTATAAACTAGACTATAGACTAGACTATAGACTAGACTGTAGACTAGACTATAGACTAGACTATAGACTAGACTATAGACTAGACTATAGACTAGACTATAGACTAGACTATAGACTAGACTATAGACTAGACTATAGATTAGACTATAGACTAGACTATAGACTAGACTATAGACTAGACTATAGACTAGACTATAGACTAGACTATAGACTAGACTATAGACTAGACTATAGACTAGACTATAGACTAGACTATAGACTAGACTATAGACTAGACTATAGACTAGACTATAGACTAGACTATAGACTAGACTATAGACTAGACTGTAGACTAGACTAGACTGTAGACTAGACTAGACTGTAGACTAGACTAGACTGTAGACTAGACTAGACTGTAGACTAGACTAGACTGTAGACTAGACTGTAGACTAGACTATAGACTAGACTATAGACTAGACTATAGACTAGACTATAGACTAGACTATAGACTAGACTATAGACTAGACTATAGACTAGACTATAGACTAGACTATAGACTAGACTATAGACTAGACTATAGACTAGACTATAGACTAGACTAGACTATAGACTAGACTAGACTATAGACTAGACTAGACTATAGACTAGACTATAGACTAGACTATAGACTAGACTATAGACTAGACTATAGACTAGACTATAGACTAGACTATAGACTAGACTATAGACTAGACTATAGACTAGACTATAGACTAGACTATAGACTAGACTATAGACTAGACTATAGACTAGACTATAGACTAGACTATAGACTAGACTATAGACTAGACTATAGACTAGACTATAGACTAGACTATAGACTAGACTATAGACTAGACTATAGACTAGACTATAGACTAGACTATAGACTAGACTATAGACTAGACTATAGACTAGACTATAGACTAGACTATAGACTAGACTATAGACTAGACTATAGACTAGACTATAGACTAGACTATAGACTAGACTATAGACTAGACTATAGACTAGACTATAGACTAGACTATAGACTAGACTATAGACTAGACTATAGACTAGACTATAGACTAGACTATAGACTAGACTATAGACTAGACTATAGACTAGACTATAGACTAGACTATAGACTAGACTATAGACTAGACTATAGACTAGACTATAGACTAGACTATAGACTAGACTATAGACTAGACTATAGACTAGACTAGACTATAAGCTAGACTATTACTCCTAAACTTTGACATTAGGAGTAGTATTACTATCACCAACTTTGCAAGTTTCATCAGATATTGGCAATCCATTTAGTACCAAAACCAAAAAAGCTTTTACCAAACACATGCTACTTGTGCTAAAGCTTTCATACATTAACACCAACAACACAAATGTGTGTAAACAATATTTAGAGTTTACGAGTTGTAGTAGCGGGATTTGTGAGCATAAAAACACAAACAAAATGCACGTGTACAGTTACAACGCCAGCAATAATAACAAAAACAACATATGTAAAATATAGAGAAATGAATATTACACAAAATTGTAAATAAACACATACACTATTACAGTCAGGATGAAAAACATGCATACACAACTACATTTAAATAAACTTTAAGCAAGGAATATGTACGTGTTAGAAGAAGAACAAGAACAAGAATATAATATTATTTTATTTAAGCAAAGGATTTCGAAACAAACAACTCAGTTTCGAGTGAGACTTTGCCGCGTACGCGTTTCCACAGAAACAACGAAACGGTTAAATACAAAACGGATATAAAAAGTTTTTTTTTTTCAAACTTTTTTTGTTTATTTACAAATGTTGTTTATATGTATGTATGTAGCATGGCAAGAGTGCAATAAAGAATTAAAAAAATTGAAATATGTTTATTTTGTTTGTTTCATGTCTTGTACTAAATAAAATAAAGATTAAAGTGTTAGAATAAAGATTAAATTCAAGAAAAAAGTAATATAGTATTACTACAACACAAATGTGTATGTATGTGTGTGTGGGAATAACCTCAGTAAACAAAGGATTTTCTAAGTTTTTTAATGGAAATAAAGGCAGGCTTGTAATCGAAATAAATAAAAGTTTTGTTTTTATGTTTAGATGTGAATGTTTCCGTAAAAAGTTATGTCTATGATGAGATGAGTGCCTGAATGTGTGTGTGTATGTTTATCCTTTAACTTTTTTTGTATATTCTATTTAAGATTTCTGTTACATTTTATTCACTACAGTAGCGCAAAACCAAATATAATGAATAAATTATTAAAATATAAATTTATGTTTCGTAACATAAAAATATAAAATGTAATAAAATATTACAACATGTAATCCCCAAAGGTGTTTGTGTGTGTGTGTATGTGCTAGAGTATAAGTGCATAAAATTGTTGTTGTTTGTAAGGTAATTTAAGTTTTTCCTACTTCTTTTGTATAATAAATGCGGTTTTAATAATAATTTTGAGGAGGAGAATTATGGCACAGTGGGGCGAGGTATTAAAAAAAGTGAAAACCCGAAAAATAAAAAAATTATTATAAAAACTAATGAAAATGAAACGAGATAATATAAAAAATAAATTTAAAATTAAAAAATAAGTATAAAAAATGTGGTTTAGCTATAGTTGGTAAAAATTCCCTCCTAATCTCATAGCTTCTCAACAGAAAGACGACTGAACTTAACTAGATAGTCGTAGAATATAACACGGACTCAGTATATATCTAAATATATATGTAGTTTTAGATGATTTTAGATCTCTAGCTCTTCCCTTGTACGCTATTTCGTGATTTCAATAGTCAGACGGACGGACATGGATACAACGTCTTAGAATACAAAAATAACCCAGACTATATGAATATATAGGAAATGATAAAATCATTATATAGTTTGAAGAGAATTTTTTGTTTAATCCTATGACTTAGTACGTACGAAGGAGCCAAATGGGTGGCCTTCTCAAAATAGATCACCGTAAGCACTTTTTTCAAAGTATCGCCAAAAATTCTTTCATGATCCGAATAAATATAAAAATTTTATAGTTCAAAAGATCTAGAAAATGGAACCAAAATAATATTTGGTTGATTGATTGAGGGGGGCACTGAGCAAAGCGACCTGTCGTAAGATCTTTTGTAAAGCCTTTTTGTTTACCATTGGAGGTTAAGTCCTCGTATGAGTCTTAAGGTCCTAAGGTCGTTGAGAGATTAAATATTTCATTTGGCAATCAAAATCAGCCTCCAGGAATACTAGAGCTTATAATGGTAGACAGTCACAATGTACATGTTCGGAGGTTTCATTTTGTAATCCACAGAGTCTGCATAACCTTGGATCATTGTTGCCAATAATATGCTGCTGATATTTATGATCTCAGTGTCTGAAATAAAGTCTCGTTAGAATTCTTAGGTCACTCTGGTTAAGCGACAATAACTTTAGTTTTTGTCAGCGTTATAAAACTTTTTTTCTGTCATGGTATTGACTCCCAGTGGCGAAGAAATTCGGATTCAACAGAACAATTTTTTTCCCTAACTTATCCTTTTCGGAAACCAAGGCCCAGCAAATTCCCAAAACGGTACTTAAATGTGCGACTTCTTTGAGTACTTGTCTTGACCTTAACCTTAATTCACGTGGTGTTTTTTAACCAAAGAGTGAACACACACGAAGCAAAAGTTTATACATGTCGGAAACTGGTCCATGTATAAGCGCATGGCTCTCTGGCTATTCAATTGCAGACCATTGCAATCTCTTTGTGGTACATCTGATAATCTTAAGACGAAATTTTAAGCAATATACACACATTCACATTGCTGAGATGGCTGGTCAGCAGAAATGTATTTCGTAGAAGAAAGTGTAATCTCCATTAATAGCTTTCTTTCTCAAGGGGTCACTGTATGATAGGTCAGGTATACCCTTCATTCCGACCCGATATATAAACTGGGTCTTTATTGATAGCGAAGTCATATAACCTATGTGTGTTTGCCTGTCCATACGTGTCTATGTTAAAATCAATTTTCTGAAAGCCTCTGATATCTGTTGAGTCCAAGTTTTCAATAACTCTATTAGTCATACTTTCAAGAAGTTTCCTTTTTAAAATTAGCAATAGCGGTCCTCAAATAATGGAGATATTAACAAAATTCAGAAACAAACCATGGAAATATAAGATTTTTTCATTCTTTTCATTCCACAAATTTTATCAAAGGTCTCTTTTGAGGATTATTAGAATCGGTTAGAAATTTCATATACACCCCATACATATTCCCCGAAAATGTATTTATTTTAAATAAGTTCTTCTGAAATAACGTTATGAAATTTTTGCGCATAAAAATTTAATACCAAAAGCTTTCATTTCCAAAAATCAGTAAAACGATCTTAAATAATAATCATATCGGGAAAAAATAGTGGGCGTGGCATCTCCCAAATAAAGGAAATGTTAAATTAGTATATCTGAGAAAATATAAGAGCTAGAATTTGTGGAGGCATTTTTGGAGGCACTTAATAATCAACATGCATATTTAGGACAAAACATGAGCGGACTATCAATAGGGGGCGTGGCACCTTCCATATAAATTAAATATTCAAATTAATTTATCTGGAAAACTATTGGAGGTGGAATCTTAAAATCTTACCTAAAGGCCTTTAACATCCATGAGAATATTTAGGAGAAAAATGGGCGATCTTTCGTAAGGAGGTCTTGGTAACTCCCATACGGATTGAGTATAAAAATTCGTATATCTGAAAAACTATTAGAGCTAATATTTTAAAATGTTGAACGAACTTTTTTGAAAACCCTGTTATTAAAATTTAGATAATAAATTAACGGACTAGATTTAACCTCTACCACGCCCCTAAGCACATAAGTTTGTTTGCATGGACTTTATAGACTTATAAACGGATGGACCGATTTAATGAAATCTTCACATTGTCTTCCTCTATGCCTGAATGGAACTATAGGCTTCTTTCACTACCAAATTTCATTCGGGCGAGTTGCCAAAGCCCCAACATCCATATATAGGAGGCCTAGTTATAGTAGGCGTGGCACCTTCTATATAAAGATAATTTAAAATTAGTTTATTTGGGAAAATATGACAGCTAGAGTCCTCAATTTCTTTCGGGACTACATAAGTATCTTCATGAATATTTAGAACAATAAAACTCGCATATCTGGGAAACAATAAGAGCTGGAATATTAAAATGTGACCGAAGGTCTTTGACATCCAAGTGAACATTTGGAAGGAAAAATGGGTGGACTTTCATTAGAGGGCTTCAAATCTACTACTGGAGTTAAAATCCTCAATTTTTGTAGGAAGAAATTTGACATTCATGTGTACATATGGGTAATAAATTGGCGGAGGAGCAATAGGGAGGGTCGCATCTCCCATATGAATTAAATACAAAAATTCGTTTCTGTTGGAAACTTTCATTTATTTTAGAATATTTTTTTTTTACCATTGCCCCATAGTGATCCCAAAGCTCAAACATATGTACATTAAATTATTAATATTATTAAAGTTAATACCTGTACAATACCTTTCACATATCAAATTACATTTTAATTTATTAGAATTTTAATGAGAACAAAACACACAAAAAAACATTTGTTTTTGGGGCTTTTAAAGTTGAAAAAAAGAGAATCATGTTTTTTATAAATATAAAACAAAAAAAAAAAAAAAAACTTAAAAAAAAGGATAATCATACACACAACATTTACGGTGTTAATCATTTAAAGCGTAAATTGTTTCATTCATCAAGTTCCTGTCTGTTGGATCTACGGATTATTTTGTGATAAAAACGGAAGTGATTTGTTACGGTATATTTTCCTTATTCTAACACGTTTCGTTGTTTGATTGTTGTGTTCACTTTTTTTTTTTTGTTTGTGAAATAAAGGAAACATATTTTCGCTGCTGCTCTCCAAACGGAAGTTAACGATTTTAGCAACAAAAATTCTGGAGAAAAAAAACAGAAACATTTTGCAACATGTTCAAAATCATTTTTTATTCAGTGACTTGCAAATAATTGTAATTGTGTTTTTTTTTTCGCTTTAAGTGCTCAAGGTAAGTGAAGTCTTGTTTTATTGTGAAAAAAAGCAAAACTTTTCTTTAAATTAGAAAATTTCTGTGTTAAAACTCGAGAGGGTAAAAACAACAAAACACGCTGAATGATGATGTGTTTTGAGGCCATTTTAAAAATTAAATTATGAAATATACTTTTTTTCGTTATGACAGAAGGTTTGAAGTTTGTTTAAGTTTGGTGTAAATTAAAATTTGATAAATTTTTGATGATTTAAAAAAATAAATTTTAAATAACGAAATTTTAAGTATTTTTGGATACAGACTAGAATTTAACTAGAACTAAACTAGAACTGAACTAAAACTGAACTAGAACTGAACTAGAACTGAACTAGAACTGAACTAGAACTGAACTAGAACTGAACTAGACTGAACTAGAACTGAACTAGAACTGAACTAGAACTGAACTAGAACTGAACTAGAACTGAACTAGAACTGAACTAGAACTGAACTAGAACTGAACTAGAACTGAACTAGAACTGAACTAGAACTGAACTAGAACTGAACTAGAACTGAACTAGAACTGAACTAGAACTGAACTAGAACTGAACTAGAACTGAACTAGAACTGACTAGAACTGAACTAGAACTGAACTAGAACTGAACTAGAACTGAACTAGAACTGAACTAGAACTGAACTAGAACTGAACTAGAACTGAACTAGAACTGAACTAGAACTGAACTAGAACTGAACTAGAACTGAACTAGAACTGAACTAGAACTGAACTAGAACTGAACTAGAACTGAACTAGAACTGAACTAGAACTGAACTAGAACTGAACTAGAACTGAACTAGAACTGAACTAGAACTGAACTAGAACTGAACTAGAACTGAACTAGAACTGAACTAGAACTGAACTAGAACTGAACTAGAACTGAACTAGAACTGAACTAGAACTGAACTAGAACTGAACTAGAACTGAACTAGAACTGAACTAGAACTGAACTAGAACTGAACTAGAACTGAACTAGAACTGAACTAGAACTGAACTAGAACTGAACTAGAACTGAACTAGAACTGAACTAGAACTGAACTAGAACTGAACTAGAACTGAACTAGAACTGAACTAGAACTGAACTAGAACTGAACTAGAACTGAACTAGAACTGAACTAGAACTAGAACTAGAACTGAACTAGAACTGAACTAGAACTGAACTAGAACTGAACTAGAACTAGAACTGAACTAGAACTAGAACTGAACTAGAACTAGAACTGAACTAGAACTAGAACTGAACTAGAACTAGAACTGAACTAGAACTGAACTAAAACTGAACTAGAACTGAACTAGAACCAGTGATGCCAAGTGTAGGGATTTTTCCCTTTTTGTAGGGATTTTTTTAAAAAATTTCACGTGTAGGGAAAAAGGGAAAGATTTCTTACTATTGTCAAGTTGTAGGGATTTTCTCAATTTCATAGTTTTTATCAACTAAAAATATACTCTTTCATGTATTAAACTTTAAAATTAAAAATGAAATCAATTTTAAGTGTATCGTTAGTAAAAATTCCGCTTGTAATTTCTACTATATGTGTACCTATGTACATATCGCTACAAGCCTGGCATAATCCAAAATTCGGGTTTCTTGAACTGAGGTCTAAAAAATATGCGACATACTAAAATCTTTCATATAGATTTATCAAATTTCTAATATGTCTATTATTTTCGATGTGAAAACGATTTTTTGTAAACGTAAAAACTAAAACCCACGTTTTCGTGAATATTAGATAACTAAAAATTTAATTTCAATTTAGATGAGAAACATATTAAACTCAACAATCTGAATTTGGATTTTTAAAATCCCTTGATTTGTTTAAAAGTTATTAAAGAAAATAGTTAAATGTCATTAAATATTCTTACCCTTTTTTCTTGAAACTACTTTTTTGGATTATGCCAATCCTGTAGGGCGATATATTCTGACTCCTTATAGATAGAGTAGTCGGGGGCTTAATGCAGTAACTCAGGATTGAAAAAAATAATTTCATGTTCTGAAAATTTATAAAAGTAAACCGCAAAAAGTAAACGCAAAAGTAAACCTTATTTAAAATAATTATATTAAATTTTATGAAATTTTTTGTTGGGGGCACATAAAATAAATTTTTAACATCGAATATATATATATATATATATATATATATATATATATATATATATATATATATATATATATAGTTATATATATATATATATATATATATATAAAACTAAAATATTAGCTGTTTTATAATATACATATATATGTATATTATAAAACAGCTAATATTTTAGTTTTTTATGTTATTTTTGTATTTTTTTAAGATAAACTTGGAAAAAATGGAAAAAAGTAGTGTAGGGAAAAATGTAGGGAAAATAAAAAGTGGGTGTAGGGAAAAAAGGGATTTTTTCTCATAAGCGTAGGGATTTCTGAAAAAAATCTCCTGGCATCACTGACTAGAACTGAACTAGAACTGAACTAGAACTGAACTAGAACTGAACTAGAACTGAACTAGAACTGAACTAGAACTGAACTAGAACTAGAACTGAACTAGAACTAGAACTGAACTAGAACTAGAACTGAACTAGAACTAGAACTGAACTAGAACTGAACTAGAAACTAGAACTGAACTAGAACTGAACTAGAACTGAACTAGAACTGAACTAGAACTGAACTAGAACTGAACTAGAACTGAACTAGAACTGAACTAGAACTGAACTAGAACTGAACTAGAACTGAACTAGAACTGAACTAGAACTGAACTAGAACTGAACTAGAACTGAACTAGAACTGAACTAGAACTGAACTAGAACTGAACTAGAACTGAACTAGAACTGAACTAGAACTGAACTAGAACTGAACTAGAACTGAACTAGAACTGAACTAGAACTGAACTAGAACTGAACTAGAACTGAACTAGAACTGAACTAGAACTGAACTAGAAACTGAACTAGAACTGAACTAGAACTGAACTAGAACTGAACTAGAACTGAACTAGAACTGAACTAGAACTGAACTAGAACTGAACTAGAACTGAACTAGAACTGAACTAGAACTGAACTAGAACTGAACTAGAACTGAACTAGAACTGAACTAGAACTGAACTAGAACTGAACTAGAACTGAACTAGAACTGAACTAGAACTGAACTAGAACTGAACTAGAACTGAACTAGAACTGAACTAGAACTGAACTAGAACTGAACTAGAACTGAACTAGAACTGAACTAGAACTGAACTAGAACTGAACTAGAACTGAACTAGAACTGAACTAGAACTGAACTAGAACTGAACTAGAACTGAACTAGAACTGAACTAGAACTGAACTAGAACTGAACTAGAACTGAACTAGAACTGAACTAGAACTAGAACTGAACTAGAACTGAACTAGAACTGAACTAGAACTGAACTAGAACTGAACTAGAACTGAACTAGAACTGAACTAGAACAAAGACTGCTTTTACAGTACCATGTAATTGAAAATTACCCCGGCTTAAACGAAAGTGTATCATTTCAACTAACACATTAATAAACAGCCTTCATAATAAAAAGTAAACATAAAAAGTTTTTATTCTCACATATTTCTTTTATAATTAGCAACATCATTATCGCCATCATTTAGACTTTGACAGCGAAAATTGAAAGAAAATACAGAAACTTACTTGAGGCAAACTAAGGCTACGTCTTGTCTTAATGCAAGAGAAACTAAAAGAAAAACAATTTCAAGGAAATGTTGATGAAGGTTTTCCACGATGCCTCCATATTACGTTTTCCACTCAACAGTTAATTGCAAAATATTAAACTTAAATAAAGTTTTGTACAATTTTAATGTTTTTTAAAATTGTTTAAAATAAAACTGCGACAAACATAGAGATATGGAAATAAAAAGAAACTAAAGTTGAGTAAAAGAAATTTTCTTTTAACGTTAACAATTTTGATTAAAAGGCATCGTAAAAAACTAACAGAAAGTTAAAGTAAAGTCTATAAAATGTATCTTCTAAAAAAAAGGAAGATTCTTTAAGTTTCTTTGAGCTATAAAATAAATTTTATATAATAAACCAAAAATTTGTACAAAATAAAGGTGGTGTAATCATAAAAAGATAGAAGCGAAATATAATAATATAAATGATAAAATGTTAACACCAGGTAACTAACATAAATTTTCCAAAATGACATAGTAAGGACGATTAACCTTATTTAGAAATAAACGATTATAATTTGTTGTCTTTAGATTTTGAGCGAAAATTATTGTTAGTTATAAGGTGTCAAAATTTTATCAACAGTTTACTGAAAATATTACCCGAATGTGACGACATAACAAGCAAAGATCATTAAAGATTCAAATGTCTCTTAAGGACACACTTCATTTCTTGTGTTCTCATAAAATTTAATCATTCATTTATTCAGTAATTCTTTTCTTTCTTAGATATTACGTCCTTTTCATAAAATATTTTGTTGGCAGAGTTGATTCACTTCCTTTTCCTTGCTTTGTTCTTGTGGGAAAGATTTTTATCAGAATGTTAAGAAGCCAGTAATCGAGATAAAATTTGTGTTAAACTTTTTAGGCTTTTGTTATAAGTGTGTAATAAAACTGAATTACTTGGAATTATTCATTATTTAATGTTTTTAAAATTACAGTAAACATATTCTCAAATTTCTTTAAAATTTAACTAAAAATTTTAAATAAATTTCCATCTTTTAGGGAGTTTTCGTTAAATTTGCCTTTAAAAAACGATTTTGTGATAAATTTCCTTTTTATAGGAAATTTTCCATAAATTTCCTTTTTATAGGAAATTTTTAATAAATTTCCGTTTTATAGGAAATTTTTAATAAATTTCCTTTCTATAGGAAATTTTTAATAAATTTTCATTTTATAGGAAATTTTTAATAAATTTTCATTTTATAGGAAATTTTCGATAAATTTCTTTTTTATAGGAAATTTTCGATAAATTTCTTTTTTATAGGAAATTTTCGATAAATTTCTTTTTTATAGGAAATTTTCGATAAATTTC